GAGAGAGAGAGAGAGATTGTAATCAATGATCCCATGTGTATCATGATGTAAGAAATTATACAAAATTGTAATCCAAGGAACAGATTTGAAAAAAATAAGTGCATATATTGTTACGGTTAATAAGTTCCGGACATCTGAAACCGAAGCCAAGGCCCTATCATTACATTCGCAGTTAGTGGAAAATGGCGGGAACTTTGCCTCAGAGCCTAACACGTGATGGGCGATGAGTTTGCAGTATTAAACAATATATTTTGATTTCTTTTTCATATACTTATAAGGCCAAGTTAGCAGTATTAAACAACACGATTTTATTTCCTTTTCATATACTAATAAGGCCAAGTTTGCAGTATTAAACAACATGATTTTATTTCTTTTTCATATACTAAAATAGGCCAAGTTTGCAGTATTAAAACATGATTTTATTTCCTTTCCATATACTAATAAGGCCAAGTTTGCAATATTAAACAACATCATTTTATTTCCTTTTCATAAACTAATAAGGCCAAGTTAGCAGTATTAAACAACATGCTTTTATTTCCTTTTCATATACTAATAAGGCCAAGTTTTCAGTATTAAACAACATGATTTGATTTCTTTTTCATATACTAATATGGTCGTGTAGATTTTTTTTCTCGACATAGAACCGATATCAGTTTTACCTGTTTTGTGGGCTGTGGTATTTATCATATTTTTTTCTAAGCGATATGTGAATGGTATCGAGTCGATGTGTGTGTGTGCGTGTGTTTGTGTGCGTGTGTTTGTGTGCGTGTGTTTGTGTGCGTGTGTATGTGTGCGTGTGTGTGTGTATGTGTATGTATGTGTGTGGGGGGGGGGCGTGCGTGTGTTTTTATGGATCCGTACGTATATCTGCGACTGTGTAAAAGTAATTTTCATTCATAATGTATCTAAAAACATTCGTAAATATGCCTGAATGCAGAAATGTAAACTTTTTTCGAGAGTATGTAAATGTAAACGTTTTCGTGTGAAAGTAAATGTATACGAGCGTGTTTGTGTGTAAAAATGATTACATTTAAGTCTAAAAACAGATACATTAACGAGTGTATCATCTTGGAATGTTCATATCTGTCAGAAGTACTTGAAAATAAATATATTCGTACATTTCCTTGTATGGGACTGACGTCATCCTTCCTTTAATAACAATCTAAACCATTCATTTCAAGGCTGTCACAACAATTTATGTGATTAATTCATGGTTCCATTAATGTTGCAATTTAGTGCGGAATCAAAGGCTGTCTCGGCAAGAGCAATAATCAGAGAATAATAACGCTAAAATATTAATGATCTGATTAGCAATCACTCGCAGATTCATGTTCCTGTTCACATTTTTATCTTCCTTCCTACTATCTATAATTCACATAAAATCCACATTTCACCAAACATTTCTTGAATAAAAACCATCTTCAGACAGACACAAAATTTATTCATAGCTATATATTTCTCTCTCTGTTTATCCATTTATCTATCTATCTATCTATTTACATTTCTCTCTGTTTATCCATTTGTCTATCTATCTATCCATCCAACTATATATACATATACATAAGGACAGGGAATAACACACATCATCATCATTTCCTTTTTACTTATCAAAAAAAGAAAATACACACGTAATCAGTATCCTCATCATTATTATGTATCAATCCATAAAGTAGTATCACAAGCTATATTCCTTCATCAAAGAGTAAAAAAAAAACAAACATATATATGAACACATGAAAATGAACAATATACCCATCAATAATCATGGAGGCTTGGAGCAATATCCATCATGGGGAAAAATCGCAGAAAAAAAAGCAATAACAGAGATGGAAACCCCAACCCTGAAGGAGACGGCGTGTCAGCTGTGAACAATGGTCGACGGCGGACCTGGTGGATCAGCTGA